TCCTGCTTCAAAGATAAATGAATATATAATGGCCGCCTAAAACTTTTAACTTTAATAAAGCGTTAGACCTAACAGGAGACTTAAGACAAGAAAGAAAACAAGGAAACAGCATCTCCAGCCTACAACTGGCCTGTCTCTTGCTATGCCGAAGCCTCTAAAGTTTATTATTCAATAATTCAAAAAAAAATTGTCCCTTCTTGCTCTTTAAGTAAGGTCAGAGAGGAGAGAGAAGAAATACGTCATTATAAATAAAGCTGTTGAGTCAGAAAAAAGAGAGGGCTTCCAATACCTGTATAAAACAAACATTAAATAGTTTATTAACCTTAATGAGTTCATTGTTAGGGATATGGCACTGGAAACTAGAATTTCCTACCAAACTTAGAAGGATATCAGAGAATTTACTCATATTCCCAGCAGTGGTGTACCCTGAGGGATCTCTGATCTTAATCACATTTGTTTCTTTAACTGATCAACATACTTAAATCTCTGGTTGCTTTTAAATTAAATCTCTTTAAGTTTTGTTCCAGTTTCACTATTAGCTCCTCTAACTTGTACAATGATTGAGAATATTTTCTGCTTTATGAATACAAATAATTTTGAGCAAATTATCTACCTCAGCAGAAAATTTTAAGTTATAATGTAAACTTAAATAACTTATATAAAGACTAAAAAACATACATCAATTTAAAATAAGAGCAAAATCAAATTCTCCAGATGCTTTAAATGTGCTACCTCTTTAAGTTGTAACTCAGACAGAAAAGAACGTTTAACTGAATTTAATTAGTGGTCTTAGTTAACACATTACAAGATAAGAAACAAAACAGAACAACTCCATTATTTTTGAACAACTTAAATATTTTAATACATGGCATGTAATTCTATAGGAAATTTAAAAATCACATATTTCTAATCAAGTTAACCCTTTGGATAAATTTGTTGGCTTAACAATTCTGCTTTACAAACTGGCTCTACATCTTTTTCTTTATTATTGTTATAACGTAAGAATAATGTTAGTATAGTATTCTAGTTTACACAAGTTTAGGGGTTATTTTCTTTTAAAAAAAACTAAGTTAAAATTACTAAATTTCTTTAACTCTACTGATTAGATGAGTTATCATCACTTTATTTAAAATTTTACATTATGTAAATTATGCATTGAACTAAATTATCACAAAATAGTGATAATGTAGATAGGTAATGTCATTTTTAAAACGGAATTAATTTTTATAATGTTACAAATCATAAGGACTCGTGTCAGCTTAAATACTGAGTTCAAAGTCTATAGATAACTTTAAAAATTTAGATAAATATTAAATTGGGTAAATTAAATAAGTTGGAAGGTACAAAATACACATCACTAAAAACAGATCTATGCAAGTCTTTTATTTTCACACAGTTGAGAATGACCATGGATTAACAGGTTAGAGAACATATAGATGCCGTAGGAGAATAGAAATAGGTATGCTTGTTTTTGCTACTTTAAATTTGTAGAAGTGATATGTAAAGTGTATATGTGGGTCCAGAGGACAAGGCAGGTTTTGGACGGCCTCCCGGTTTCCTTATGCCTATGAGGGAACACAGTTGCCTGTTTTTCTAAAGGGCTGTCGTTAATACAAACAGCTCTGACTCTACCAAGTACTATAGCTGCAGAGAAACACAAATATGTACACAAGCAATGGCTATGTTTGGTCTGTTTGTTTATTAGAAAGTTGTTACTGTTCATTAATGTAGTAAATTCAATTTTATATGTATTGTCTTATTTATGCTGACAAGGTAAAAATACTTTAGAGCTGCCATTAAAGACTGAATTTATAACTATATTAATTTATCAACCACCCCTCAATAAAAATTGACTATCCAAATCTCTCACCTCTCTGTAGCCCAACCACCTCCAGACTTCATGGTCATGTAACAAAAAATAACTCCAACAACAAGCACAAACTAGTTCAAGTTTTACAAAGATGTTGATTATCTCAAAGACTTGGCAAGTGATTGAATCTTGCTATATATCCAATTAGTACAAATTGAAAAACAATAAAGGTGGGACAGTGTTTCAACCATATCTCAAGAACCACAGCATTAACAAATCAATTTCATGTTATTGTTTTGAAATATATGGATCTTTTTTGCCACCTGGGAATACTTGTAATAGTTTTAAATAATCAAAAATGAGATCATGGATAAAATATAAAACTATTCTTATCAGAACATATCACTCTATATCACCCCCTAACTGCTGAGAAGATAATACAAATAATTTAAAGTAAAATTCCCAAAGGAACATAAACTTACTGTGCCAAAATTTTACTTCTAACCTTAA